CCGGGGCTTCAACAGAAGCCCCGGCCTCATCAATAAACACAGTTACCGCAATTTGTCTGTCTGCTGACTCTGAAATTTCAGCCAGGCGTCTGATGGGGTGAAAGGAGGGCAAGAGAAGGGGCATAGGGGTAACCAGGGGGTGCACAAGGGATGGGGTGGAGCATGGCAGGAGCTCTAGTGGCAGGGAAGGGCTCAGGGGACCTGGAATGGGATCTCATGGTGAGTGGGGCCTCCAGGAGGGTGAGCAGAGGGGATATAGGCATCAGGGGTTCAGGGCAGATAGGAGCCATGTGAAGATGTTGGGGGCAGGGCTGGGGGACAAAGGGCTTCTGCAGGGAGACGGGGCCTGGGGTGACGAGGGGGGTCCTAAGCAATGAGAGACCAGTCAAGCCCCACAAAGTGCCTCTGAGTTTCATCCCATTGTTCCCAAGTTCTCCCCAGGCCCTGAAGGCTCAAGACACTCCAGGCCAGGTCTAGGCGATTGGCTTACAGAGTCATCTGATGGGAGTTAGTTTGAAATGTGGGTGCCATGGGGCCCATGGTGGGGTGAGCACAACACATGAGGCAGGCTGGCCACAGTCACACAGAGGTCCACAGTGCCCTCAGCCCCCCTGGTGCTGCACCCCTGCTTGGCTCTAGGGGTGGTGCCCCTCCCACCAGCTCTCTGCTATGGGTGGATGCCAGGGGTCATGGCAAGGGATGGGGATAGGAACGGGAGTGAGGGGTGGGGGTGATGGGCTTTCCAGCAAGCCAGCAATAGTGGAGCAGAAAATAAGCAGGGCAGACACAGAAGGTCACAGTAAGGGAAGGGAAAGGGGTCGGCAGTGGCCACAGTGAGGACGTGAGGACACGAGGACCCTCGAGCATGCAGTGGCCACAGTGAGGACGTGAGGACACGAGGACCCTCGAGCATGAAGGGTTTTCTCCTAACAGGCGAGTGCAGCCCCCTGGGTTTGCGGTCAGTATCCCCACAGAAGTCAGTGGCTGGCCTCTGAGCTCCTGGCTTCTGGGACTTTAGCTGTGCAGATGCTGAGAGTGAACACAACGGAGTTCTCAGAAATGAGGCTGGGGTCCTTGGCCCCTTCATTCCCTCTTCCCACCCTTCCCCAGTCCCCAACACCCAAAGCTATGGGGAGCCACTGGGATCCACTAGAAAGACCAATAGGACCGACCATCGAGGAAGCCCACCCTTCCCATGCAGGCCCACATGGTGGACACTCTCCTGCCCTCTCTCCATCAACAGTGGGCTCTTGAGTTTGCCTGGGGACCCTGGGGTTTGCAGGGACATGGGATTTGTGTTAAAAACAGGTGGGTTGGTTGGGTGTGGTGCTTCCAGAAGCCCTTAGGAGGGTGTCTGCAGGGTCCCCCTGGGCCCTCCTGCCCTCTCCACTGAGGATTCAAACACCTGGGCCAAGCCAGAGGCGATGCCACGTCCACTTTCCTGAGCCTGCAGATCACTCTGACTCACCCAGGTGGATTTTGCTGGCAGGATGAAGTAACCCAATCACCACGCGTGGAGAGTCAGGGCTATAAACAGCCTTTATTATAATCACCCAGGTCTGCCAGAGACTCACAATGCAGGGATGCTCAGATGAGGGGCACCAGGGGAGGTGGGAGCTGAGGGGACACTGAGAAACCCCACCTGCTGGGAGCCAGGCTTGGAAGGAGGTCCTAGGGAAGGCTGGGTTGTCCTCAGTCCCTGTCATCTGGGCGGCTTCTGATGGCTATCTCCTCCTTGTCACCTGGAAGGGCCAGGGTGCTGAAACTCAAGTCGCACCCACATTTCTGGGCCTTGGTGGCGGGCGGGGGGGGGGGGAGCATTGTGAAGTGCACACTTTGGCTCTGGGGTTTCCATCTGGGGGCTCTGAGACACTTTCAGGAGAGAGTGCAGCTGGCTTAGAACCCGAGGGGGGGGCATTCTTGTGCTCCTCGGCTGCCCCAGTCTCTGCCTATTTTGGCCTGTAGTTCCCCTAGACACAGGAGGAGGGGTGTGCAGAGGCAGGGTTACCCTGGGCCATCTCATGTCATCCCTCTGTCTACAGAGGATAGCTACCCCAAGCTGGAGTAGCCAGGTGCCCCAAGTGCCCTCCTCAGAGCCCCTCAGGGACAGACAGACCAGTCCCCCTCCTCAGACAGGTACTAGTCCTGGGCGGGGGCTGGGAATATAGAGGTGGCTACCCCACCCTGCTAAGCCCCTCAGTCTGAGTGACCTGCCAGGTTGGAATGTGTTTACCTTGGGGCTGTTCCATTCTCTGCTCTTAGTGAAGGGGCATGGGGGGGCTGTTAGGCAGCTTCCAGGCATCCTGCCACCCAGGAACCCTGGCAGGACCCTCCCCCAGTGGGTTAAGCTGGGCAGCCAGCAGGGGTTTGAGTTTCACCTCCAAACCCCAACATGGGGGTGGGGAGCTGGGTGGCAAGGGGCTGCTCACAAAGGTGCCAGAAACCTGGGAAGGAGACAAGACAGTGCCCCGGCCTTCAGCCATGTTCCACCTTACGAGGTACCCAGCAGGAACCCGCCTGAGCCTTCACCCCTGTGCTTCTCTGACAACTTTAGGTTGAGCAAAGACCAAATGCCCAGTGAGGGAAGAGAGGGCAGATCACAGGTGGGACATGCTGGTATCCTGTGTGTCTCTGCTGCTGACCAGCTGATGGCACCCATCCATGTCAGGGTCTGGAGCTGCTCTGCAGGGCAGGTGTGTGGTCATGGCCTGTGTGGGGGCTGGTGTTCCCTGGAGGTTGGGACCCCTGGGTCTGGCTGTGTATATCTTGTGCCTTTGTGTGTTTTCGTGTCTTGGCTTGGATTTAACAATCCAGGAGCACATTGTCAAGTGAGGATTTGGAGCAGCTGGGGGTGGGTGGTCAGGACACTGGTTATACCACTCAATGTGGACAATTCCAACACCCCAAAGGAAATGAAATCCCTTAACCAGGACTAAAGTGACATTTAAGGTCTGACTATAATATGCCCTGGACGTCCCCAGGAAGGTGGCTCTCTCAGTGGCCCAGCCTGTTCTTTTCAGGGGAGTTTGTGTATGTGTATGTGTATGTGTCCCTGAAAGGGACAATGCAAGGTTCTAGGAGGGACTGTGGTCAGCTCTGCTGTCCCCTCAGCTGTGGTAGTCACACAGGACATGGCCCCAGCCCACCCCTCCTTCTTCCTCTCCTTTCTCCTCTGCCCTCCCCCCTCCGCACTGCTCCCCAAACCACTCCTAGTGACACCATTGGCCCTTCTCCAGGGCTGAAGGGGACCAGCAGGGCCCCTTCCTGGAAGCCCACCTGCAGGCCTGCTTGCTGGGAAGGGGCCTGCTCCCGGCGGCCCCCCACCCGCAGCCGTTTCCTGGAGGCGGTCACTGCGGGCACTCTGCTCCTCTCAGCACTGTGCCTGCAAATAAGGCAGACACTGTGCTCCTTGTCCTTGGGGAGCCTGCGCCGTCACCCCACACCTGGCTGGACACCGGCAGGCAGCTGAGTCCGTGGGGAGCGGCTTGGGGCTGGGCCTGGACCAGTAAACACACGCGGCGCCAGGCGCTAGAGGCGCCTCCACTCCAGAGCACGTGCCAAGCCCCAGGGCTCTCCCAGAGGGCGCCTGCAGACCCCCGGGAGGGGGAGAAGGGCTGGCAGCTCAGGGCAGGCAGGCCGTATGTCTGTCTCACACTCTGCAGAAACCCGTCTGCTTGGACAGAGGGTCCAGTGAGATCCTAAGGAGCTGGGGCCATGTGGGGGTGCTCCAAGCTCAGGGTGGGGAAGCAGAGCAGAGGTGTCTGCCAGGTCCAGGTGGGAGGACGGGAAAGGCCACAGGAAGAGCCTTGTAGCCCAAGGCCTGTGGTGCAGTGTGAGGAGGAGTGTGTGAAGACCCTACAGGGGAAGATGCAGAGCTCTGGGGGCCGGCCAGGCTTGCCCAGGTGTTATATGCCCAAGGGTGTCTGCAGGGCCACTGGCTGGCTCTGACCACTAGGCCTGGGCAAGCTGCAGCTGAG